GGTACTCGAAATCCTGCATGACCCTAAGTACCTTAGCGACATTACCCCAATAATGCAAAATCAAATGGAAAAGGAAATGGCAAATGACATGAAAACTGGGATATCAAGTGGAAAGAATGTGGAACTGAAATGAAAACTGGGATCATATAGGGGTTTAGAAGTCGATAACAAAAATCCTGCACGACCTTAGTATAATATCATACCATAACTCCAAAAGTTTAGGATACTTAGGGTCATGCAAGATTTTGAAAATCCACCGTACTCATCACCTGGAGGTTTTGGGCTTTTGTTTTGGGGGCAGGTAATGGGTTTAGGGTTTAAGGGTTTGGGGGATTCAAGGTGTCGAGGGTTCCACGATAGAGTAAAAAAAATCATTACGTTCCGCATATATAGTGTTTGGACATAGCAAAAACCTACAAACGATTTTCAACAATGACCCAGGTCTAGGATGTGGGGGTTAGGGATTGGGGTTCAGTGATTGCAGTAGGCTTACGACATTGGAGGCTTAGGATTTAAGCTAGGTTGAGGGGACAGAGGCCTCTGAGGTACCACGCTTCCTCAGTAGGAGCACTATGGCCCTGATGAAAAAGGGTATATGAGGGTTCCCCAAAATTTACGAGTACCCTCTCGGGGGTTCCCATAATAAGAAATATAATACTTTGCGGGCTATATTCGGTCCCCTTATTTTGATAAGATACCATATCAACGTAAGCAGAAGTTCGTAAGGAGTCGGTATGTAGCAGGCGTTCTGAGGCTGATCAAGGGGGTTAATGGCAGGGGATGGTAAGCCCATAAGCTTCAAGCATGTAAGCGCAGATGCTGTTGGCGCGTTCCATACAGGTATCAAATACAGCTCAGGGCGCCCTTGTCTGGGTTCGTGCTAAGGAACTTAAATTAAGGAACCGGTGTGGGTGCATGTATGTATATAGCAATGAATGTGGTTTCCCTGGTAACTTAAAGTAAGTTAGTGAACAGCAACCCAGCTGTATGACCAAACCTTCAACTAGACCAACCCGCAGATCGGGTCGCCCCGAATGGCACGGGGTCGAAGGTGTCATTGTGCCATAGGGGTTTAGGTTTCAGGGTTTAGGGTTAACATAATGTCTATGGATCCAAGACCGGAACCTACTGGAGTCCTTCCTTGCCTCTGAGAGAACTCCCAAAAGAACCAGTGAAACTCGCTTGGGTGCACCCCAAAGATCTGGTCCAGATTTACGGCCCCATGCAACGGTCACAGGAAGAACCCCAATCCTTTAACCCAGCAATCCACAAGCCAAAACATCCTCTCGCAAGCCTAGCAATGAGATTTTTAGAGAGAGGGTGTAGGGTTTAGGGTTTAGGGTTTAGGGCGTAAGGTTCAGGGCTAGGATCCTTGATTCGCTAATATTCGTGAGGGTTAAGCCGATTCAGGTTGTCTTATCCTTCCTGCTACGACACAACCAAAAGGAGACAGATATTCTCTCTCTTGGGGAGTATACCCTAAACCCTAAACCCTAATTCCCATTTCAGGTACTACTAGCCACTTTGACGTCCAGAGACCTTCCTGACTCAAGGGCAAAGCAGCCTCAGACCCTAAACCCAAAATTGGTTTAGGGTTAAGGGTTTAGGGGTTTAGGGCTTAGGATTTAGGGTTCCATTTTCTTTTCCATTCTCCGTATAACCTTGGATAATCCTATATGAACTATAGTCTAAACTCCTTAAAGGGGGTACACAGGGGATTATATAGGGGAGTATTATAGGGGGGTATTAAGGGAGATACTAGGAGTTTAGATTATGGCTCACATAAACCCTATGTAAATATGACATTGCCGCCAGGCTGCTGCTGAGGAAGGATGGTCCTTCAGGCCACGCGTTCTAAGGTCTAGGGCAGACAGGTCAAGCTTGGGCCCGTCAGCTTGTGGCTAGGGGTCACATATAACGAAACGCGAGTGATAGGATAATTAATGATAAACCCAAAACCCTAAACCCGCAACCCTACACCCCACAAACCGTGATTCCAAACCCCGAACCCTAAACCACCTAAACCCAAAACAGATTCTAGGTCAGTGAGGTATGGCTGAGGATGCTCGACTTTTGGAGCTTCGGCTTTGACGCCACATGCAGCTTAGGATTCAGGGTTTAGGGCTTGAGGTTTAGGGCTTCGGGCTTGGGATGCAGTATCTGAGAGGGAGACATCCGAAGGGTCCCAAAGCGCTGCTAAGCAACAACATCTGAACCCTGTGCTGCAGACAGCTCTAGTCACCTGACGCAAAAGCTTTCATCCCTAAGCCTATCTAAAACCTCCATCCCGCGACCATGAAAAGCAAGCCCTAAATCACAACCCCTACATGAAGTCCTAAACCCAAAGTTCTGAGCCCTGAACCCTAAACCCTAAATCCTAAACCCCGAACCTTAAACCCTTAACTCAGCCCTAACCGTACGCCGCAAAGCCCTACACATGTTAGCCCTGCGAGCCAAAGGCACCTGCAGACGTCATGGCACCCCCGAAGCCATAGCCATAGCCCGCCTGCGGATGGACCGTAACCCTAAACCCTAAACCCTAAAACCCTAAAACCCTAGATCGCTGCAGGGTTCCGTAAGGGTTCAGAGCTTTCGGGTTTTAAGGGCATTAGACCTTTGGGTTTGGGGTTTTAGGGTTTTAGGGTTTAGGGTTTTACGGTTTTAGGCTTTTAGGGTTTGGGGTTTTAGGGTTTAGGGTTTTAGGGTTTTAGGGTTTTAGGCTTTTAGGGTTTGGGGTTTTAGGGTTTAGGGTTCTGGGCTTAGGGATAGTGGGTGCAAGGGAGAGTCGAGCGGAACTGCAATGTGAAGATGAATGGTGCAGCCGCTTGGTGCCCCTAACTTGCTGTTCTTCCCTTCTACGGGATATACAGAATGCGTTTATGGGAGGGATATCATAGAAGCCTTAAATACTAAACCCCCCTAAACCCTCAGCCCTAAACCCTAAATCATGTACTTCCGTTCTCCGACAGCAAAGACCGAAGGCCCAGGTTTGAAGCTTTCCATAGACGGCTTGGGAGTCCTTCTCTTCTATCCAATCTTGAAGTGTGGGGCGTCATATAGGTTTTAGGTTTGAGGGTTTAGGGTTTAGGTTTGCGGTTTAGGGTCTAAACTCCTTAAGGGGCGGTAATTTAGCGGATTATACGGGGGAGTATTATCGGGCTTCATAAGGGGGATACAAGGGGTTTACGTAGAAGCGGCAGCCCGAATTGGGGCCACTCAACACCAACCTGCAAAAACCCACGTGCCCGCAAACCCTGCCAAGCTCGACTCAAATCTCGAAGCCCAAGCCTAGGCCCTCAAACCTCCAGAGCTTAAACCCTAACGTCCTCAACTCCAAACCCAAAACCCCAACTCACAAACCCTAACCCTTCATCCCAAACCCCACACCCAATTGTTGGCAGGGAATTGAGGAGTGGACCCCTCTAACAGTCTTTCCAACCCACAAGATTAAAGTTTCCATAATGTTGTTCGTTCCTTCAGGGGTTAAGACCCCAAACCCCCGAACCCTAAACGCGAAACATAGATGTATATATATATATATGTATACAATGTATATACATACACAGATTTATATGTGTATATATAGATATATACATATTCTGTCTCTATATATATATATATGTGTGTGTGTATTGGCATGCACATGTACATAGAAATACAGATATGTACATGCATATACATATACATATACATATACGTATACATATACATATACATGTACATATGCAGATACACATACATATACGTAGACATGTACAGATACAGTTATATATATATACACATATACATAGCCCTTGAACCTCTTTAAGGGACCTATAGATCCCTAAAGCCCCATTGGGTAGTGTGTTTTTTGGTGGTTGAACATAGTAAGATAATATTCCTTATATAAAATACTATAACCAAAAGGAGGATAGAATCTTACTCCATAATGGGTACCATAGTATCCCCAAATAAAATACTACTCCATTGAAGGTCCAACCTTCGGCGGGATCAGGAAGCTCTTGCCGTCCAACTCCGCTCCAGGCGGAAGCAGGAAGCTGCCACCGGGGCCGGGCAGCTCCGGAGGGAGCCTTTGGGGTTTTTAGGGTTTGGTTTTAGGCATTTAGGTTCTTAGGGGTTTAGGGTTCAAGGGATTCAGCGGTTTAGGGTTTTGAAGGCTTAGGATTTGGGGGTTTAGGATTTTTAGGGTTGAGGGTTTCTATGGTTTACGTATAGGGCTTAGATTGGGTTCTGCTCCCACCCTTTAACAGTCTAGAATCGGAGTCATATTAAGGGCTCTATATAATTATGTTATTGAAAGTATCCAGCTGTTAATGGGTGGGGGCAATACCCAAGGTTTTCAGCGTTTAGTGTTTTTCAATGTTTTGGGTCTTTAGGGTTAAGGGGGTTTAGGATTCAGGATGTCTAGGGTTTAAGGTGTTGGAGGTTTCGGGAGTTTCGGGGTTAAGGGTCTTTAAGGGTTTGGGTTTTCATGGTTTAGGGTTTTTGGGTGTTAGGGTTTTAGGGCATTAAAGTTTGATTCGGGGTTCAGGTGAGGATAGAGCTCGAATGGGGATATTTACATAGGTGGGATATGGAGATATATCGGGTATGGGGATTCCAAGACCCTAAACCCTAAGCCCTAAACCCTAAACCCAATAGAGGTCTTGGGGTCTGGGATTCAAGATTTTAGGGGGTGGGTTTGGGGTTCTGAGGTTTTAGGGGTTTCGGGCTTTTGGGTTTTGGAGCCTGGGGCTTGGGGTTGAAAGGTTCGGATTAGCAGTTCACAATTGGAGGTTTAGGGTCTGGGGTCTGTCGGAGGATCTAAAGTTGAGGGTTTAGGGTTCAAGTTTAGGGTTTTGGGGGGCATGTTTCAGGCTTCGGGTGTGGATCCCAGGGAATAAAGTATCTGCTTGGCCTTTCAAATACTCTGTCAGTTTCCTTTAAATTCCATAAAATGTGCCATATGGTGGAGTATTACAGGGGCTATTGAGGAGGATACTAGGACTGTAGGCTATGCCCTATAGCTCCTAAAGGCTTGCTCCAAATCCTACACAAAGGGCACCTTGAGCCGGATCTAGTAGAGTTCCCATAACCCTAACCCCTATTCCCCAAACCCCAAAGCCTGAACCCCGTCCCCTAAGCCCTGAACCCTACTCCTTAAACGGTAAATAGCTGAAGGTTTGGTCTTCCTAGGATCTGCATAGGCTGTTTAGGCCTCGAAATGTATGCTGCGAGGCTGTTTAGGCACTAGGCATCTGCGAACAAATGGTAGTTTTCCTAAATAGGGGGACTCCAATATTATAATATAGACCCCAAAATACTAGGGACCCCCAAAAGAGGTACCCCTAATTTTGAGAAACCCCCAAATAGAACCTGGTTCTCGGAGCATGAATCGTCTTCGAAAACCAGGGTCTTCTGCACGGTTTATTTAAGGTTTAGGGTTTGAGGTTTGGTGTAATGCTTGGGGTAAGGGCTCCATGGAAAGACTTGGGCTACGTCGCAAGTTTAGCTTTCAGCGTCACCCTGGGGTCAAGTTTTTTCGCCACTGCCTTTTGGTCCGGGTTAAACCCTAAACCCTCAAATCCTAGAACCCTAAACCCTGAACTGCAGACCCTGTCTGCGATTTCCGACCAATCACCGATTGCAACATGGGACTCCAGCTTGGATTGAAGTTGGAAACTTCGGCTCCAGGAAGATTCCCTTCTCCCACCCTAAACCCTAAACCCTAAACCCGAAACCATATCCTTTCCAAGCCACATCAACTTGCTAGTTCTCCGTATGAAGGAGGGAATATAACCTTCACATAGTCCCCGTATGAGCTATAGTCTAAAGTCCTCGTATCCCCTTAATAACCCCTATAATACTCTCCTATACTATCCCCTACATAACCCCCTTCAAGGAGTGTAGACTCTAGCTCATATAACATATTATCTTCTCTTATTACCTAATAAGAGGCAGTGAGTCAAGCAAAGGTCCCTCCGGAGAAGTTGAGCATGGCCGCCTCCGGTAAGGCGACCACGTAATAATGGTAATATAGTATTAATAATGATGATAATACTAATAACAACAGTACGGTAACAGTAAGAAAAATAGAAGTATTGTGAGAATAATAGTTAGGAATAGAAATGGTATTAAGAATATAGTAGCCACGGTGCCAGCCTCTTTGACCGGGTGGGGAAGATTTTTACCCCGCAACATGCGATCACAGGCTTTCAAGCCTCCCTGGCGACCGGAGCCCGCGGGTTTAGGGCTTAGGGTCAAGGATAAAGTTCATTATAATGTGACCTACGACCCATATTTCTCCTATTCTAGTGAGACCGACGGCCTAGGCGTCCTTGTGTTTGAGCACCCTAGAAAACTGATATACACGCAACTGCCTAACCACAACAAAACTCGAAGCCTGAAACACGAAATTTCAATCCTGAATCACTAGACCCGAGCACATTCTCAGCAAAGTACAAACCCGACAAAAAGGAACAAGCAAGCATCAGATCATGTCAAAAGAAGACACGGAAACCCCTAAGCCGTATATAAACACAAAAACCCTAAACGTCAAAACCCCAGACCACCCTAGACCCTAAACCCCTAAACCCTAAACCCCTCGACCCTAAGCCCTAAGCCCGAAACCCTAAACCCGACTCTCAGTTTCCGAGTGCCCGGCAGCGGAGGTAGCGGTGGCAGACCCGGAAGAGGTCCCACGTCCTCGTGCTTCAAATCTAAGGTTGAAACCATGGGCCCCCAGGTTTAGGGCTGAGGGGTTTAGAGTTTACGGTGTAGGGCTTAGGGTTTAGGGCTTAGAGTTTAGGGTTCAGAGTTTAGGGTTCAGGGTTTAGTCTAATCTTGAAACCATGGGCCCCTAGTATGGGCTCTGAACCCTAAGATCCTTATTCAACTACTGTATACCCTATTTGTACCCTTAGAGGGCCCCTAGATTCCCCCTAAACGGCCTCAGCGCCATGCTCGGGCCCATACTACGTACTTTAGATCAAAAGTACTTGGAGGCACTAGATAATCAAGGCCCACTTTCTGAGGAAGCCCTGAAAGCCGGTTTAGGGTTTGGGGTTTAGGGGTTTAGGGGTTTAGGGGTTTAGGGTTTAGGGGCTTTATTGGGTTTAGGGTTCAGCCTTCAGAGTTTGGGGTATTGGGGACTTCTAACCAGGCAAGATTAAAGGTAATTTCAGGACATCCCTAGTAGAACCTCCTGCAAGGAAGCGCCAGATGGACAATCAAATGCAGAAATGATTTTGAGACTGGGCTGTTTGTGGGAAAGCGTAGGGATGAAGAGTCTTCGAATTATGATCTGCTCCTAAGTGCTGTCAGAACCCAAGTATAAGCCCTGTGTTGCTATACTTCGATACGAACCCATACTTCTAAACCCTGAAGCTCCACGTCAGGTTTTATGGCTTGTATTTAACACCCCGCACGCCCCAATATGAAACATGTCTCGAAAAATGTAAGGTTGTGTAAAAGGAATATCAGTGCGAGGGGGTCGGAGATTGTTTAATATGAGGGAATCACTTTGCCTACTGGAGAAAGGCGCCAATTCTCCCCTCATAGTCCCTGACCCCCCAACCTAAAACATGCCAGACCGTCTGAGTGGCTTGCGACTTCGTCACGCTTCGACCGCCCTTCTTCTTTCTATCGCTTGCAGCGCTCTCATGCATTCTCGCTCTGACGCCTCACATTTTGGCCCCACCCATTGTGATGTCCCTCTCGCTCGATTCAGCCGCCTTGCGCTGTTGCCTGCCACCGTAGATTTTCCTTTCGGACACTTGCCCTCTGGCGCCAGCATTCTCCTGGGTCGCGGTTTTGTTCGCCGCGTCTTTCGCATCGCCTTGTGTGCTTCTTCGTGTGCGCGTGTACGCGCTGGAATCCTTCAGCAGCGCATTTGTTCGGGAGCAATTTTTCCAGAGGCCCCCGGGGCCTTATGCAAAAACCCTTGGACGCACGCAATGGTGTGGTCTTGGGGTCGGATTTTCTTTTCGCGCGGCGCGCCGCCCACGGCCCCCTTTGGATCGAGGCGCGACGCTTCAGCTGCAAGCCCTAAACCTGAAACCCTAAACTTAAATATTAAACCTATAGCCTCTTAAGTAGATAGAATATGGGGTGTACGGGGATCTTATTATAACATACCGAAAGCCATATTCTATCTACTTAAGGGGGACTATAAACCCTAACCCTAAACCCCAAGTCCGAAACCTAAGTCCTAAACCACTAAACCCTAAACCCTTCGGAACTCTACGAAACTGAGGCCCCGGCCAGGATACCGTCGAAGCCCCGTGGGGGCGTGAGGATGGGCTTGTCCTGAGCTTAAGGTTTAGAGTTCAAAGGTTTAGGGTTTAAGGGTTTACGGTGAAGGTTTTGGATCTAGGTTTTAAAGGGTTAGGGTTCAGGGGTAAGGATTTAGGGTTTAAGCGTTTGGTTCGCGATCTTAGATTCAGCTGCCATTCTTTGGATACAGAGTAAATAACGCAAGAGTTTGTCCAGGACTAGATTAGAGCTCTGTTTTTGGCAATGCTGCTTCAGGGCCTAGGGTCTAAGTTTCTAGCCTGTTTGGAGAGTTCCGTCAAGGTTTTCAGTGAAGGGTTCGGTTTGCAGCCGATTCCAGGGTTGCTGCTGACGAGATTCTATAAGGCTGTCATAGCATCGCTATGTGAGCTTCGGTTTCCAGATGTTTTCGAAAGAAAGCTTGTTGTTTATGCTTTTAGGGTTCATCTTTCAGATTTTGCGATCTCGAGAGGGGTTAGGACTCTTGGGTTAAGGCTTGTAGCTGTTTACTGTGCTGCTGCTATAAGGAGTTTAAGCTTAGTCAGCATGACATGGATATGTCATGGAAAATGTGGCTTCCTTATGACGGTGACTGATTTTAAGTTCCTTGCTGTAACAGCAACCCAGTTCCTGGTTTTACGGCGTTGAAGGCTTTTATGCTGGTTGGGTTTTGAAAGTTGAGGGTTACAAGGCTTCAAGGGTTTTGGGCTTTGGGCTGAAGACTAACAACTTGAAGATTCATAGGTAGTTAGAACAAAGTGTAATTGTGGAAGGCTTCCACTTGTAGTCCCACTTAAAACTTCCCGCGAACGCTCAGGTAACACTTGTACCTGTGCATTGTATGTCTTTGGCTTGAACTTAATATAAGCCCAACATGGGATGTGTAATGCTACCATGTGCATAATTTATGCGGGGCTTGTCCTGTGATGAGGCTTTAATCAACGACTTCAAACCTCAGAGATAAGGGGTGAGTTAGGAATCGCCTCCCACCACTGTGCAAAACATGCCCGACTCCATAATATGAAAATCTTCAGCATCATGCGGTTTTCTTCAAGGCGGAAAGACATGCAGCGCGAGCTACCCAGCGAGATGCAAATTCAAGACAAGATTCTAATAGTGAGAGGAGCTCCATAGTCCTAACCCCTGTAGAGTTTAGAGTTTTGGGGGTTTGGGGGGTTTGGGGGGTTTTGGTGTTAGGGTTAGGATTCAAGGTTTAGGAGATTTGGGATAGCTGTTTGTCCACCCTAAACCCTAAATCCTGAAGCCTGACCCTCACAGCTTATTCGAGACTACCACAATAAACGCCCTGCTCTCGGTCGAAGGGCCGCCGCCGCTCGTGGGTTCCTGCGAATTCTCAGGCTTGAGCTAAGGTTTATGGTTTAGTGTTTAGGGCTCAAGGTTCAGGTTTAAGGCTTTGGGATTTTGGGTGTAGGGTCTGGGGCTTAGGATGCAAATGCTGGAGAGTCAACTGGAAAAGACGGTGGAAAATGAAATGGATACTGGGATTGTATAGTGGCTTACAGAAACTTGGCCATGTTTGAAACCGGGTAGGTATATGCCGGAGCAAGAGAGTGTTTTCCATAACTCTAGTGATAGGGGGCTGTGGGTTATAACCTGCGTAAAATTGGGTGTAAATGTGTCCTACCTAGGTTCTGAATAATAGTGGAAAAAAGGTGGTAGTTTCCCTAAATAAGGGGACCCCAATAAAGACCCCACTATACTATAGTCCTTATTATGAGACCCCTAAACATGGTACTGTGTTTTGGAAAACCCCCAGGTGTGTAGGAGATCTGGAACTGGGGTGCAGCGCTTTGGGCTTAGGTGTTGTTGAGAAGGCCCTAAGGGATTTGGAACCCCAGTAGAAATTATCATTTCAGCTAGATATTAGGATTGTTGGTAACAGAAATTCATAATTGTTTTCAGGAACCTTGTAGAAGACCCTTGACCCCACCTCACCGGTCTCGCTCTCTTGGAGTTGACGAGCTACATCTTACCAACAAACTGCATGCACACCTTAGAAACAGCCACAAAAATCACATGTGAGCCTGTACTGTTGCTCATACTGTCTCTTCTCCGGCTTGTAAGAATGTCATACTGGCTGTCGTTTTGTGATCTTTAGTTTTCTCCTTCTAGAACCGTCACCATCATCATCACCACCGCAACTACCTTTTCGTCCTACTGCCTGTCCGGAATGCCGGACAGCTATATATGACAGTAAGCAGCCTCAACATGAGCTCACACCAAAAATCGAGTTCCCCAATGCAGCCGCAGCTTGAGGGGTATCAAACATCAGTGTAGGGTTGCCCTACCGGGTTTAGGGATTAGGGATAAAGGTTTAGGGTTTAGGGTTTAGGCAATCGCTGTTGGGCTCCACCTATCGGCAAACAGGTTTTGCTGAATTGATATACGTCGAGCATGGACGCCTAAATTTCTTGCGGCAGAGATTACCAGCCTGCTCACATGACGAACACCATAGCCTAATAAACCCTGACCTGGCAAGATCCGGCATGCACAGTATATAGCTTCAAACTGTAAAACAAACTCTGGCTTACACCAACTCCACAATAACTCAAGCCCTTCACACCACATACATGACATTAATTAAGAAGTTACATTGATCCAGATGAACCTAGAAGAACACTAAACCATGTGCATATTTGGTGGATATTTGGTGGGGGGGGGGTCCATAAAGAAGGTGCCCCAAAACAGACTCCAATATATTCCAGACTAGAATTCTCATTGCCGGGGTTCCCCTTGAAATTTTGGAAACCCTGAACCCTCGAAATTCTCTATGTATCCTCGTATAACCCTTGAAGAGTATCCCTCTCTGCATACATCTATTTATATGCATATCCATGTGTAAATTTTTGGGCCTCGTCCGAAATATTTCAGTTTTTTAAGTTTTCACAGTTTCCATCCTTTTTGAAAAAGTGGAGGTCTTGAAAACTTGGTTTTTCAAATGTTCAAGATTTCTAGCCCGTTTGAGAATTTGCAAATCTTGAAAATGTTGAACCCAAACGTGATCTGTCCAATAGAGCATGAAAGTCCTACGCACATAACAATATGTGTTTATAAACTTTCATCCCTGTAATCCCCTTCAAATGACTTCACTATCTAGACCCTAAACCCTCAAACTCTGAACCCCAAACCGCTTACCCTAGGCTTTGAACCCCGGACCCTAAACGAGAAACCAACCGTATACATACATATCCATCGATCCATCCATCCATCCATCCATCCGTCCGTCCATCCATCCATCCATCCATCCATCCATCCATCCATCCATACACCCATACGTACATACATACGTACATACATACATACATACATTGTTCTCCAAAAATTGGCCCATATTGGCCCCTTTTGGTTATAGGCTGTACCGAAACGGAACCCTAATTTTGAGAACTCACACACACATACATGCACACGTACCGACCGACCGACCGACCGACCGACCGACCGACCGACCGACCGACTGACGGACCTACCTACCTACCTACCTACCTACACATACATACACGTACATACACTCATGCATACATAAATGCATACATACCGTCCATCCCATCCATCCATCCATCCATCCATCCATCCCATCCCATCCCATCCCATCCCATCCCATCCCATGCATGCATGCATGCATGCATGCATGCATGCATGCATACATACATACATACATACATACATACATACCTCCTTCTGCATCCTTTTATCACGCTTCAGACATGACTTCTTTTCTTTTGCTATCCGGGGCCTGGGCGGCGGCGCCTCCTTCCGTGGCGGCTCAGGGGGCGCGCTGACCTCTTCTCGGACAAGAAGGAGACGGGTCGGGTAGGGGCTTACTGTAGGCATAGTAAGGCCCAATGAACTACCTAGAGTAGGACTGTGGGATTTAGGCTCTGGAATTTAAGGCTTCAAGGTTTGGGTTTAGGGTTTAGGGTTTAGGGTTGGGTTGGTCCATGGGATTGCAGGCTGGGGTTTGGAGCGGAATGGTTTAGGGCCGCGGTCTAAGTTCAGGACCTTGGGGTGAGGGTCCAGTGGCCCCACCGTATGTTCTATGCGAAGTGCAACTCCTAAAAACTTCTCTCGAGATCCTAAGTACAAGCATAATGGGTTCAGGGTTTACCTGTGGCTCCATTTACCTACGGCTTCATGGGTTCTACCTACTAACTAGGGGGTAGTTACTACTATACTGTAGGTAAATGGAATCACAGGTAGGGTTTAGGGTGGTGCCCTTTCGCCTCTGCACAAGCATGCTGCTGCAAGGGCCAAGAGGTTCAAAATATCCGTAAATGGGTCATTGTCAAGATGCTTCCCCCCCTGCAGCAGTACCAAACTATAACTCGTACTATGCAACCCTAAACCCTAAACCCTAAACCCTCATCCCAGAACGAGGTGAGCAATGTTGAGAGACCCCGATATGGAAGTGTCTCAAAAAAAGTGCGGGTGCCCTCATGGAAATTCCTTACAACTGAGCGACTAAGGAATGCTCAGAAATCAGATTCAAGATACTAGTATCATGTAAGGATTCTTCCTTAGATGAGGAAACCCTAAATCCAAAAATCCTAATTCCCTTAAACCCTAAAGCCCTTAATTAAACCCTGAAACCTCAATAACTGGACCATGAAACCCTTGATTAAACCCTAAAACCCAAGACCTTAGCTGGAGAACTCCCCAAACTCTGAGCCAAGGGCCATCCGGCTGACTGCGGATGGTTGGCCTGGGTGCTGGGATGGATCGATGGCCGTGAAGTGTAGCGGTTTGGGTTTAGGGGCGTAGGGGTTTAGGGGTTTATGGGCTCAGGGGTTTTGGGGTTTAGGGTTTAGACTTCAGGGCTTTAGGTGTGTCCTGTTTCGGGCGTAGAGTCTAGGGCCTAGAGTCCATGATGGACATTCCAAGCTGAAGGTTAGATTTTTGATCGTCGTTGGACTGCCGGAATAGCCAAAGGATAAGCTGCCACTCGAAACCCTAAATCCTAGACCCTAGACGCTAAAGCCTAGACCCTGAACCCTAAACCCCATCTGAAGTGTCCAATGTCTGCTTAGGGCTTGGTTCGTGGTAGCAGGGACGGGAAGACCGCAACCCCATGGTTGCCCACGAACAAATCCCCGATAACATCATAACTTCCGTTTCACTTATGCGGTTTAGGTCTTAGGGCTTAGAGTTAGGGATAGGGGTATTATAGGGATAATGGAAAAAAGAAATGGAGACTACACTAATGAGGTTTAGGGTTAAACTTTCATTTCACTTTCCATTCCATTCCCTACCTTAAGAAGAACCAGCAAGATGCTCATGGTGCGAGTGCCCTCAACCTCGAGCCTCCCAGTCCTAAACCATAAAGCGATTCAATCTAAAAACTCAAAAATCCTGAAAACTCGAAAGCCGGAAATCCCGAACAAGGGAAAACATGGCTTGCCATTTACGCGTATAAAATACTTTATACGAATTAGGGTCTCTGGGCCAAAGACGTTCATCGGCTTCGTCATCCATCCTCCTCCTGCAGCAACGAGCTGGCTGTTGCGGCCCAAACCCGAAACCCAAAGCTCCTAACCACAGAATAAGTGTTTAGGGCTCTAGGCTACCCTAAGCCCTGAGCCCTTAACCACTGAATTAGTGTTTAGGGCTTTAAGGCTTTAGGTGTTGAAGTTGGAAATCGGATCTTGACTGCTTCCATGTTTAAGGGTCCTTCTAGAAATGGGGGTTTCCCAAAATTAGGGGTACCTTTTTGGAGTCCCCATAATAAGGATTGTAGTATTTGCTGATCTTTATTGGGGTCCCCTTATTTTGGGAAGCTACCAACTGTTAACATCGTGTTCCTCGTGAGGCTTTAGTATTTTTAGCATAATCTGAAGACATAACTTGACTTTGGTAACCCCGACCCTCAAAAATCAGGACTCTTAGTGGATGCAAATTACGGGGTCGGGGTTGCCATAACCCTTTTCCTTACTTCAGGAAGTAGGATGACATAGGGACTCAAGATTACGCGGCTGTGACCTCCTATTCCATCGAAAGCCTGTAGCCCACAATCGTGACCTACTTTCCAAAGAACTTCCAACCACTTTGGGCTAAAGCGGCCCGGCTTGCGAGTGGCTACGAGCTCCTGGTACCCAAGTTCCTAAACCAAGTTCCTAAACCCAGAGACACCAAATCTTGAGCCCCCAATCCTAGGCCTTTGACCGCAAGCCCAAAGCCCTAAACCCTGAGCCACAAACTACAAATCCTGAACCCTAATGACAGGCAATACCCCTGAACCATATAAAGCCCCGCGATAATCCCTATATCACCCTATCAAACCCCATGCTTTTGGGTGGCCAGTCTATCCAAGGATGTCCTGAACTCCAAGGCAGCTTCCTCGCGCTTCTGCGCCTAGCAGCTGCTTGTTTTACTGGTGCGGGCTTCGGTTTAGAGGTGTGTGTTTTGGGGTTGGGAGTGAATCCCCACGATAATCCCTAAAACGGAGAGACACATCGAAAAGAAAAACCACAATAAAATGGAAAGTGGGCTGTAAGGTTTACGAATTCGATCAATACAATCCTCCTGTAATCCCCTACAGTACTCCCTGTACTCCCTGCAGGTGTGGTAGAATTCCATTTCTCAGCAAAGGCTTTGGGGGTTTCGGCTGCTTCTGGGCTTACCGGTTTTCATCAAGCTTAGAGCTTCATATCGGTAAGGGCTCCATTGGCTATGTGTTTAGGGCTTGCTGGGGTTTAGGATTGCGGCTTACTCTGTTTTAAGGTTCGAAGCTTGGCTTTGTAGACTTATATTGGGTGATGTAAGGATTATATAGACAGACCTACAAAAGTTAGCAACTCATAGCTTTAAGTCCTGAAACAAAGTTCCATAGACTCGCTGAAGCAAGAAGCATCTCGAAGCTAAGCCCTGAAAGACTAAAACCTGAAACCCTAAAAAACCTAAAACCCTAAAACCCTAAAACCCTAAAACCCTGAAAGCCTGAAACCCTGAAACCCTAAAACCCTGAANCCCTGAAACCCTAAAACCCTGAAACCCTAAAACCCTGAAACCCTAAAACCCCAAAACCCTAAAACCCTGAAACCCTAAACATCACAAAGTGACGACAAGACCGGAGTCGAAGCCTGTTCGGAAGCAAGGAGCATCGCCTGCCATCAACCGGCTTTAGGGTTTAGGGTTTGAGGCTTAAGGGTTTTAGGGTTTAGGGTTTTAAGGTTTTAGGGTTTATAGGGTTTAGGAATTTAAGGTTTAGGATTTTAAGGTTTAGGATTTTAGGGTTAAGGGTTTCGGATTTAGGGTTCCTATATTTTAGGTTTCCCCAAAGAGGGGAAACTCAATATGGACCCAACAATACTACGCTCCATGACAGGGGCCCCAACATGGTACTCCCAATTCTCGGAAACTTCCATTAGGGGCAGGTTCAGGGTTTAGCATTTAGGGTCTATAGGCTTTCGGGTTTAACCTCAGTTCGGGCTTCAGGGTCTGGGTTCGAGCTTTTACGGGTGAAAAGGTCTAGGGTTTAGGGTTCAAGCTTAAAAGTGTAGAAGCTGCTTAAAGTTTGCTACAGGTGTGAGGAGTTTTCTGGACTCAACGAAGGGCTCAACATTTGGGGGCGCCTGGGAACCCGACGGATGTACATACATCTGTTCTGTTTAGGGTTTGGGACATGTATAGATTTTGGGACGGTTTGGGGAGCCGCTCTTCTAGATAGAGAGTTGAGTTGAGAAATAATCGCTTCGTACTAATACTAACACCCCCCACCCATACTGTTGAATTTCTCCCAGAGGAAAACCTTACATATTGAGCGGGAGCTTGCTTAATGTCAGGGGGGTTAATAAGCGAGATTATCCAGGTAATATTACTTGGAGGGTCAGAGGACCTAGCAATTATACTTATAACCCCCCTAAGCCATATAGTGGCCCCAGTTATCCCCCTTGTCAGCCTACTTATGCCTCAGTTATCCCCTTTATCACTACTTCTGACCCTCCAAGCAATATGAAGCGATTACCAATTTTTGCCCCACCGTGTAAGGTCCAAGACAGAGCTAGAACACGCAGGCTTCCAAAAGCTAGGAGACCACCTAAAGGTATGTAGAGTTACATAGGATCTACCAGGACATAAAGGATTCAGGATGGGGAACTTAGGGAGAAGGCTTTCTTCTTCTCCAGAATTAGGCGCGTCTTTGAAGCGGATACCATCATTAGAAAAGGAACATATGGTTGCAGGGCTGCCGGGAATTGAGGGCCTTTTTCGGGGAGCGTCCAAAACCAAGGTTTCAGTGCTTCGGCTATGAAATCTAAGGGGGACCTCTGCGTTGCAGGCAACGGAAACATCACGTCTCCAGCACGTCATCTTCGTGTCCGAAGTCTGGACCTGAAACAAACCTAAACTCTCGAGTACCCCGAAAACCTCACACAAGCACAAATAAATGAAGCACCCCGAAAATTGTCAGGATGCGCGTTGATGATCCACTCATCTTCATGAGGAAGGTTCGCAAAATCATCAGACCGTGTACAAACCAGGAAGCCCTACATGCGCAAACCCTAAATCAGCCGTAAACCCTGGAAGCACTATTGCTATTATAATTATGAGTGATGTTATTTAAGACTTCACTATTCTAACTAGTCCTAGTACTATTTCTACTACAGTATATCTATTCTTGCACCTTGTATTTGGAGTCGGCGTCGCTGTCTTTCAGGAGAGTCCTTGACACGAAACAGGCGAGGTTCAACCCCAAATACTTCAACCTGTCCCAGGAGCTGAGGTTCCAGAGAATAATGGCAATAATGGTGGTAATTTGGGTACTGCCCCCACCCAGTAACAGTCCATATTAGGGGTCCTATTAAGGGCTATATATATAACCATATTTTATCTATTATCCAACTGTTACTGAGGGGCAATAATGGAAAATGGAAACTACTATATTATATATGGTTACATAGGGGTTATGATGGGGTTTTATTGGGATAATGGAAAAGAAAATGGAAACTACTAGAAGATACAAGGTTATATAGTAAAGGTGCTAAGTGTAATTATAGGATAAGTTTTGGAGGCTTTGGCTTCGGTGGGTGTAGAACTTTGGGGTCTAGGGTTCATGACTTAAGTATTGGGGCTCAGGTTTTAGGATTTTCTTTTGTTGGTGCAGGACTATTCGGGCTTTTTGAGCATAGCCGTCATCCTCTACCATGGATTCATTGGCACACATACCGATTGCAACTGCTTCTAAGGGGCAATGATGGGGGCAATCTAGGGATAACATAGAGGTATATAGGAGTGTCCATACGGGTACGGCAGATACTAAAAATCCCACATAACCCTAAGTACCCTAAACTTTGGAACCATGGTATTGTGGTATGCTAAGGGCGTGCAGGATTCTTCATATCAACAATACCCTAAACCCTAAACCCTAAACCCTTAATCAAACAAACTTTCCCAGCCTCAAGGTTTGCACATGGTCTGCTATTGATTCGCGGGTGGTGAGGAGAGGACGGAGGGTTGGATCCCTGCAATGTTCGTCATATGAGCCATAGTCTAAACTCCCAAAAGGGGCATCAAACAGGGAAGTATCATAGGGGTTTTTATGGGAATGCTAGGAGTTTAGAGCCGTAGTCATATATGGTCCCCTGTCAAACTTATTTACTAATCCTTGCTTCCCTTCTGCGTAGCAACCAGTAATTTGCGGGTCTACGAATCCATCCCACAGTCATCCCAAACAACTTTCTATTCAGATACACGGGTGTTTCTAGGGCCTTTAGGAGGGACCC